ATCACCAAGTTAGAAGGTCTCAGTAAGATCAGTGGAGATCTGGAATGGACTGGATCAGTATGCTCAAATCCCAGTGGGGAGCACTGGAAGTGCGACTCATGAGAATACAGGTGCCTTTTAATGCACAAGGAAGAAAACAGTGCTGGGACAACATGATGCTCTTTATAGTTACAGGACAATGATAAAAGATGATAAAACAATTTAACTGTCAATAGAAAGGTCACTTTCTATCACTTCATGTGAGCATAAGTGCAGGAGCACTTAGGGGAAGGTGACTTTAAATCAGCTTTACAATTTCCCTCCTTCAGCTGGTTCATCTCCAGGTGGATCTGCTGGAGGGATGAACAGCTTTAGCCTGCTTTAAATTCTGCCTTCAGCCCATGGTTCTCATGACCTGAGGGCTGTTAACCAGGACACTGGCAAAAGATTACTCAAAGTTTTCTGCATTTGAACCCCTCACTTGGAGGGGCTGCTGCTTTTTATGGAGTAACACCTGAGCCTGGAGCTGTGCCAGGAAAAGTGGGAAGTTCAGCACCTGAGGATCCTGTAAATGATCTATATATACAGGAAAGCCTGTGAGCTGCCATGGTAAGGACACAGGGTTACAGCTGAGCACACACATGCTTGCTGTGGTTTCCCTTACAAATTTATAAAACCTTTATCCAGTTTGTTCACTTTTAATCTGGCATATCATCATATTATAAGGCTGAAAATCTAGAACTAATTCTGAGATACATGGTCAGCAATGAAAAGTCTGAAGACCAGGATCCAAAAAAGATGCTCTGGGTAACGGGACTGTCACTGGCATGAGACTCCTGCAGGAATTCCTGACTCTCACCTCAGCCAACTGCACAAGGTCAGTAGGAGTATGTCCACTGCCTGCAAAAGTTCCCCATGATCACTATCTCTGTGCTACAGTTTAGCAGAATAAACCATGGTATGGATAAACAGCTTATTCTGCTATCAATGTATCAATGAATACATCATTTCACTGCATCTGACTGTAGGGAAAGGGGAAAATGGTGCACTTCAACTCCTCATCTGCAAGATACAATTTCCATATTGAGGGCAAGAGGTGGTTCAGGTGAGAACCAGTGACACAGCCAGAAGAGATGGGGCCAGAGCCTTGTTCTCTGTGAGCATCCCAGTCTCTCAGGAGGAACATGTGTGCGTTAAAGGGGTTCAGTGCCATTTCAGCTGGTCCAGGATGGCAGCTCTTCTCTTCTAAAGCCACTCTCAAGTGCTCTCTGTATTCCTGAGCAGCTGACAAAGCACTGCTTAGTGCCTCTCTCAGCAGAGATTTAACAAGTTCTGCAGTAGTTAGCCAAGTCCAGACGGACCCTGGGTTGTGTTGCTTTAATTACAGCCTCTCAAATTTAATTTCTCTTTTAGTCTCAGTAAACACATTCCTTAGCTTGTCCAATCCATTGTGACAAAGGTTGGGTGCACTGGGAGCAGAAAACCTTCACCAGGGAAATAAGGAGGCTGCCAACACCTCCAAGCCAGCAAATTCAAGACTGCTAACCCTGACCTATGACTACAACACACCTGGTATTGTGAAGAGTCAAATTACTTCTGCTCCAAAAACTGAAAAATAAGGTTTTTCTTTTTACGTAGTCTTATTTTAAAAAGGCAGATATTTGCATTTTCAAACATTGTTTGTGCACTGGAAGTCAGTAGTGTTCTTAAAGCCTGTCTGTTGGAAGTCAATTATTTAGGCAGATGGGCACTTAACTACCTATGTGAAAGGATTAATACCTGCAATTAATCCCCAGTGCAACTACAGCCTGTGCAGACACAAATCTGCATCCCTGATCACTGGTGCTTTATCCATTGCAGGTGAAAGAATTTTGCAGTTTCCATTGCTTCCTTGACAAGTTCTTCCACAGGGAAAATCACACCATTTAGTCTCCTTGTTCAGATTCTCTACTTTTGTCCCTGAGTCTTTGAGCAGCTGCTTTCTCCCCCCAGCTGGCTGTGCCAGTGTCTGCACTGGATACATTTCACTTGGATTAAAAAAGCAATCATATCATTCTTAGAGGAAAAATCAAGAATTACAAGGTTCAGAGCAGTAGCTGGAAAGGAAATTGCTGGAGGAGGAAGAACCATAATACACCTACACTGTTCCTACAGTTTTGGATGATTCTATACCATTCTATAATCATTACTGTCCCCTCCTGCAGGAGATCCTCCCTAAACTTGGGCTGTGAACATTGTGACACAGGACCAGGTTCTTGCACAGCCTCAGCACAGCCAAGCTTTGCTCCTGGATACCAGCACAATCTTATAACTGGTACAAACTACCAATGCAGAAATGCAGGCATAAATAAGGTTCATAAATTCCATACTGAGTCCTCATGAAGCATTATTAATCCAAGAGACAGTTATTCCTATCAAAAAGCAAGAGTATACACAGTTAAAATATTTTTGAAGTGTCACATGAGGTTGTAGTAATAGCTTTATTAACATGAATATAGAAAGAGCTTAGGGGTTTTTCATCTGGATGCCCTCACTCACATCATCTTCAAGTCATCATCCACTTGTTTATTGCACATGCAGGCTCTCACCACAGAAATTACTCTGAGCACAAATAAATCTCCTTCCAAACATTTATCCAGCAAGATGTTGTTATTTATAGACAAGTTGGTCAGCTCTGTGAGGAGTGCAGCCTCTGTGACAGGGTGCTGTGCTCCAAGGGGCTGCGGGTGACAAGCAGTGCTGAAGCTTCTTATAAAATGACAATAAAAACCTGAGTGCAGAGATTAAATTAACAAAACAAAGAGAAAAAGAGTGAAGTGGTCAGGATACTGTGTGCTGCTGAGATAAGAGGAGACAGAGAAAGGAGGATTCTAACCAGGGAAGAAATGGGAATGTTAACAGAGTATCAGTGGATAGGCTTAGTGAGGTTTATCAGATTTGGGTAAGAGACAGGATAGCTATCAATCCTCCACAAGCTCTGTTGAAACAGCTCACACAATTGTTCTCATCCAAGAGGAAAAGACCTTCATTTGACAGGCAACCTCCATGAAAGTGCTCTCACTACAGCCATTCAGCAGTGCCTCCTGCTTCCTTCTCAAAGGGAGTTTTGACCTCTGAAAGATGCTGAGTTGAGATCTTAGGACTGAAAACTTTTGATGTTTGCACCCTCCCAGGATGCTCCAAGTTTACCTGTCAATGCCTTTCCCTTGGTTCTCATGCCCATCCCACAGCCAGACTCAGCAGAGATTCCAGTGTGTGGGAACAACACTCAGACATTAGAAATCGGTTGAAAGCTACTGATTCATTTCTCACCAGTTACCTAAAAACCACCAAAATTTGGTAATTTGTCTTTGGATTAAATTTTCTTTTTTAAGAACCTGCTCATGCACTAAAACTGGAAGCTAAGTAAGAGTAGAGATGCTGAAACATCCAGAGCAGAAACACTCAGATATTTCCAAATCCATTAATAGCACCATTATGCTGAAATGATGTGGCATTCAGAACATATTGACATTCATTTTGGGGGTTACCTAAGGCTTTGAAAAAAAAAAAAGTTCAAAGCAATTTCAAGTAGATTTTTATTATAACTAAAAGACTCCATGAGACCATTCCTACTGGTGTGAGCAGCAGCATTAAATCAGGGGAGGCAGCAGTGTAAAATTGTTCTAATTTCACTAACTCATATCAGGAAAACAGCAGTTACAATTATCTTCTGAATTTGTTTCTAATTCAAGTCTCCCATTCAAAGAAAAAAATGTACATGTTAAAGAGAAAACACTTAAAGAGTTTCACATGGAAAAAAGGAAAAATAAAAGGAAAAAGAAAGAAATTACTAAGAAAAAATACTTTTAGAAAGAGAGCTAAATAGTGGAACAAGTTGCTCACAAAGTAAAAGCTTTGATAATATTTTGTTTGATAAAGCTGACTGCAAAGAAATAAATTCATCCACAGCACTTCACTCAGAGCCACAAAATGTTTATGTAAAACATTTTGTTATACAGCTCCAAAGAAAAGATATAATGTGGACTTTGAACTGGGTGGGAATTAGAGCCCAAAATCCAGTTTTCAAATGAAGAAATTTCAGTTTGTGCTTGAATGTATTCATTCAACCCTTTTACCAGTAACCTGGAAGTAAAAATAACATTGCTGATAGCACATGCAACACTAGGAATATTGAGGGATGAGTGAATACAGAAAACCTACAGAACTTCTCAAAAGCCTGGAATCATTTGCATAGAAAGAATTTAATAAGAACAGTACTAGAAAGGTGATTTTACTTCTGCAGAGACTGGCAAGATTGATGTTCCCTATATTCTGCTGGTCTGTGTAAAAAGAAAGTTGGAAAACCAACTGGAATATCAAAGGAAGCCACAAGAATGAGTCAAGTATTGATTCAAAAGAGAATATTTGACATCAAGAAGCATAAAGAACTAAAATATTTGGTCTATCAAAAAGGCAGCCTGAGAAATGGTTTGATCACACAATATAGGAGTTTTCACAGACTGAAAACACTGTTAAAGGGCTCTTTCATTCAGCACAGAAAGGCCTAATGAAAGGCAGTGGCCATTTAGGGACTGAATTTAAAACAGTTATGGGTACAGAGTACATCATTCTCTCCCTGTCCAGTGAAACCAACAAGCTGTCAATGTCCAGGCCTATCTATTCTACCCCAGTAGAAGCCAGCCTGAGTCTGTCCCCACCCTGCAGGGACAAGGACACAGCAGGAACCTGCTGAGCTACCACAAAGGAAGGTTTGAACCTTATTTAAGTCCTTTCCATATCACCTGGGTGTTAACCCTAATAATAATACTTAATTCTTCATGGAGTTCATGCATTCTCCAGCCAGTCCCAACTGGAGAATCCTTCTTTCCTCTCTGTTTCTAAAAGTCACCACTTAGCACTGCAAAGAAGAGTGAATAAATTTGTTGGCAGGAAAAGTCATCCCTTTCCATGCAATTTGTAACAGTCACTCCAGGACTTTCATAGTCCTAAATGGAGATGTTGCATCTGTATTAACTCACCAGGAGTGCAACCAGCCTCATCAATTCCACTTTCACAATCCTTCTGCCCATCACATCTCCAGGACAACGGGATGCACTTGTTGCTTAAGTCTCCACAGCTAATTTTTTCAGATGGACACACTTGTTTAGCTGTAAGAAAAAAAACAAAGAAAAAAACAGAAGTTAAACGTATTTCTAAATATTTCTAACACTGTTTATGCTGTTAAAGTTGCTTTTGCTTTGAATGGCTCAATCCTGAGACATATTGGAATGAAACCCCATGTCAACCTGCTGCCTCTTCTATCAGGGAACAAAGCCCTTCCTGTCCCTCCAGCCTGTGCCTGTCCCAGCCAGCCCCTTCCAGGAGCATGCAAATAAAACAAACACCACCCCTCACTCTTAGTTTTGAGCTTAACTCAACCAAAATGGACTGAGAAAACTGTTTCAGCAGACCAACAGGGATTCCAGCTGAGAACTTGGGGCTGGTTAAAGGGGGGGATGCTCAGTGCAGCACCAGCTCTGCCTCCCTGCCCAACACACTGAGCTGGAGCTGTTCAGTTATTGCCCCCTGCACACAGCACAGCACCTCTGCACAAACCACCAGGAAAAACAAATTCCCTCATTTCAGTCTATGCTTGGCAAGGCAATTCCTAAACGTTAATGATCTGGGCAGATTGTGGTCAGCAAAGCTGAGGATAAAAAGCAGCAAGGACAAGCAGGAACTTGCAGATATTTAACAAATTGAGCTGTAACTGTGTAAATTGAAGGCAACTGTGATGTCAGACATGGAGACACAGGAGCACCTGCAGAAGCAAAAACCCCAGTACAGGCAAGAACACAACTATGAAAAAGAATCTGCCAGATTTATCTGGAACCAAGTAAGCTGTGAAACTCATTCTCTCATAACTAGTTTGCATTGCTAAAATTCCTTTTTTTTTTTTTTCATACTAGTGTAAAGAGCAACAGATCTACATTTATTGTGACAAGGCTGCTGAAATGCAAAATGTTCCACAATTAAAACAATTGTTTAGCATTCTGGAATCATCATCCAGTTTGGCAGGATTTGCTTATTAAACAGATCAATTTCTCTCTTCAAAAAATTACATATATTCAAATAGTTCTTCCATTGGTATTAATGATAATAATGCTATGTATGGCTGCAGGTCTACTGAGCAAGGGGAAACCTAAATTCTAAATGAAAACCTTCACATTACCCTGCTCTAGTAAAGGTATTTACACAAAGTCAATCAGCTTCCTGAGTGCTGAGCGAGAGAGGATGGAAATTATATCTCCCCTTCCACCTACACAAGGAGGCTGTGAAAGGGCATCTTATAGCCCCAAAGCATCAATCAGCCACTTGGAGAGCAGTGCCATTTAATCCCTGGATTTCTCTGTCTTAGCGCCTTGAAGTGTTATAAGAAGCAGTTTCGAGAAGCTGTGGGCAACCAATACATCAAGAAAAATTAGGTCCTGCCACAGACAGACAGTTAATAACAGATGTAATGAAGTTTTATAACCCTAAGGCATGACAGCATTTCTGTTGAAATTTGCTCACTGCATACCTAAATAACATTTATGAATGTTGCATGATTACACGGAGGAGGAAAAACGGGATCCTTACTTAGGCTTTGGGATCATTTTTCCAGCAAATCAGTAATAAAAAACATTGGAAAGGCTCCCCAGCAAGACCCCACAGGATCAGTGTATCTGCCAACTCAGGCCAGGTCCTCTGTCCCTGTCCCTCTAAGCTGCAGGTTTTGTACTGCCCAACTGCAGAAATGTCTGGATTGGACTGGCATACTGGGGAAACTGGGATACCAAAAATGTCACTGAGACCTTCGTTAATCAGGTTATTTGTCCATATCCCCCAAAAATTGTTCTAGCTCTTCTTGGCAATTGTGATGGAAAGGAGAATTTGTTTAGATGCCAAGTAGGAGCAGGTCTTTCATCCTTACTGTAATTCTCCATTGAGAACCAAGTGGGTTAATACAGGTGAGAACATGTTCCACACATCTGGTTTTAAAGAAGGTGAAATATAATCTTAAAACGCTATCATCACACAGTTGGATCATTAACCAGCAAAAAGGTTACTTATTGGCCACAGTTTAAAGTGTGGGCATTACTTTTGCTTGGCTGCTGTGGGCAGATGCTTAATAGCTTTGGGAAGCTGAAGGGTTTGGAAAGGTAGGAACAGAAGGCTCCTATTTATGGAAATAGTTGATATGTTAATCATCTTCCTGGCAGAATAATTACAGACATTAAAATATGTAAATCAAAGCTTGAACTTTCAGGGATGCAGCAAGAGAAGCTGCTGTTGGTCACAGTTCATCAAATCTCTCTGTTCCAGTGGTTTCTGCACCCAAGCAAGCGTTGCATGGAAGCCAACGACTTGTAACCACTGGCAGGTAACAGAGAGGGGATCTTGCACAAAACTCAAAGCAGAACTTTGGTGAAAACACACCTGCATTTCCAGCAAGTTGGGTGTTTTCCTCCCCTCTCCTTCAAGAGGGTGCAGATAAAAGTGGAATCCATGTTGTTGTCCACACTATCAGGGAGGCTTTCAGCAACTGCAGCCCAGACTTAACATTTCTGTTTCTGTGCATGGCTTACACAAACCCAGGCCTCTTGGGCTGACGTGACCAAAATGTTTTACTTCCTCCTTCCCTCTTTGTGCAGCCAGAAAGGAAAGGGTTAGTGCTGTGTGTGATGGTGAGAGCTCTTACCCTGGATGCATTCTGGACCAATGCGAGTTATAGCAAGATCTGCCTTTTCAGAAGAGCACAATTAAAAGACTTGGTTGAAATGTCAGACACATCAAGACCAATTTATCACAATGAACTGCAAATGCCAAGGATGGACAACAATGGTTTATTTATAAGGAGACAAGAGCAAAGAAGACAAGAAGGTTCCATTTACTCACTACCGCCAATGGCACATTCTTCTTTCTCTTTATAGGAGGCTACAAAGTCTTTCAGAGAACCACAGAGCCTAACTGGCGCCCCACTGTTTGCTTCCTCTTGTGCCACTGCTGTGCTTTTCAGGCTCCGGACATCATGTATATTCAAGAAAGCCCAAGAAAACAAAATTGATTTACTTTCAGAAGACCATTTGTCAGGTTCTCACCAAACAGGTATTCTAAGAGCATACACAAAATGCAATTAAGCAGCTTCTACTGGTGGGAAACCCACAAGACTTTTCATCAGCAGACTGAAAAAACGCCCTTTGTGGAAATACGTCATCTTACAGGTCTGAACAGCTCCTCTATCTCTGCTGAAATAACTTCCCATCCTCTCTAGATTGCCCCTTGTGGTTTTCCAGGAACCAGCAGGTTCTTCACAAGCTCCAACCCAAAACTTATTTTTTCTACAACAGAGAAAACTCAGTACTAAAATGGTTTAATTATTTTCTGCCATTCCAGTGGACTGTTCCCACAAATATTTCCACTACTTTTATTATGGAACTTAAAATTCCTACCTCCCTCTTTCCTCCAGCAATAGTTTAGTTGTCAGCTTTCTCTTTTTTTTTAAAGGAATATTTTTTAACGAGGACCTCCACTCCTCAAACACTGTCCTTAAATCTTCTTTTTTCACAGCTGGCAGAACTGCCTCAGAGATGTACCAAGTACCTTACAGTGGTTTTAGTTTCTTTCCCCAAATACTAATCCATGTCAAACTACCACATATCTGCCCAAGTACAGGACTAGAATCCAGTTTGTTTCCAGGCAAAACAAGCCAAACTGGTAAATGAGCAACTGTTCTGCAGAGAGGAGGGGAGCTGACAGGCAGAGATTGCTTAGGAAAATTCAGAACTCAGAGCTCCCAGTCACTGAAGATTTGTGATTCAGAAAAGAGATCTGCTACAAGTTTACACATATAGTTCTTCATATGTATGTGTGTATATGAATGTATACCTCAGTCTACACTCACCACTGACTTACAACTCTAAGTTTCCCATTGAAGTATTTAAGGTGCATAAGAAACACAGTTTAAAATCCATCATGACTTAAAATATTATCACAGCTGAAGGTGTGTCTGACTGGTACTTTCCTTCCCTTGCCCCTTCTCCCAGCTGTGGGTGCATGTGAGGAACACTGGCCTCTACCCCATTCACCACCAGTTCACTCTGCAGCTCAGGACAGGTCACTGCTGTTTCAGTTTATTCAACCTTTCCAGACACATCAGATTCTGGTGTGAGTCTATAAAGTGTTTTATATCATATTTGTTATATTTGATCTCCCTGATGCCTTCCCTGTGACACCTTACATCAGAAGTGTTTGTGTGGGGACAGCAACATCCATGGTGGATGATTCCCATGTCCTGGGAGTTTCTTTGGCCCTGGTGCACAGAGCACTGGGAGCACTCAGGGACTCCCCTGAACCCTCAGCTTTTGCTGGGTGCTTGAGTTTGGATCTGTGCATCAGCAATACACAGAGACAGAACGCACTATGGGGAATGCTAATCAAAGAATTGTTCCCACTAAAGGTTAGGAGCTGCACTGAACTCCCCTTCTGTCATATAAAGCAACACACTACAAGCATCAGGCTGCTGGGATAGCAAGACTTACATGAACTTGTAACTTTCCAAAACTCAATGCAACTCATCCAGCAGTAGTACTTGGGGTGCTCACCGTATCTGTATTACACATATACTTGAAATGTCTGAGAAAACACAGGCAGCTCCACAATTTCAGTTGAAAGCAGCCCAGGCCAAAGCAAATGTCATGATTAGTGGCTTAAATGAATTAAGATTACAGCAGTGAGACTTGGAATGAGACCAACCCACCACCAATGACGCCTTTGTTGACAGAAGCAGCCACCCCATCCATCTGCTCCAACAGGAAACTCCATTCTGGTCAAACTGGGGCACGCTGACACCAATTCCCAGGGACTGGAGCTTGAACTGATGCTACCTGACTCTACATTTGTGGTGTGTAAGTACAGGCTGATATGCCATAACCCTTGTGGCACCATGTAAAGGCACAGAAATAGTGAAAAATCTATTCTTCCTGCACAAAAGGATAATGAACTTATTAACTTAATAGCCTTTAAACTTCTGACAAATTAAGCAACTCAAAAAACAGATTAGGAAAGGTGACTAAGGAACTACACTGTGAAATGTCAGGAACAGCATTAACAACTGATACACATGATA